AAGCATTTTTGGTGCATTAGTTCGTGCGGATTACGGAATTCCCAATTTTGCACAATAACTCCTTTTGAGATATCAAATGCTTTGAACTCTTTCAATACCATTTTCCTATTTTTTTTACCTTGCCCTTGATGCTGTATAGTACGAAAACAGTTGAGCCAAGGGTAAGAATTTTGAACTAACTGGGGAAGGACCTCAGCTGTGGGTGAGCAAGTTACCAACGTGTTCCAGAGCGAGATTTTCGTATTTTGTGAAGGTGACTCACCCATTGCGGAGCTCCTTTTTCCCATCCCCTGGTTTTCCCTATGATGTTTTACGTCTAAGAACAACATCCATGGTACTCGTCCCTTTCTAGGGTTCTTTGCACTTGCTCGTTATGATGACTCTAGAACCCAGAACTGTAACTGTAACCTACTTTTGGATTGTTGTGAAAAGGTGTGGTTATCGTGTTGAGGTGGGGTTCCCTTCTTTTTAGTCTCCTGGACGAAGCATTGAAACTGAAGCTTAAGCTGAATTTGAATTTCGTTGATCCTCAACTGTGTTCCCGGAAGTGCGGGTCGCTAGCGCAGAAAGTAACATTCTCGCTGCCACGAGGTCACCCCTGTTCTAGTTCTAATTCTTGACATAAGTTAATATACAATTATACTTTTGTAAGTCAGCCAAAGTTTTTCGTCTTTCCCGTGGGTCTTTATTTCGCCAATCCGGGTTTCGTTCAGGACAAAAGCGACTTTCGCGTTTCGCATGCGAAACTTTTTCGCTGCGGGAATCTCAGGTCCACCGCTGATCACAGTGGACCCGAGGTTCCGCAGCGAAAAATGTTTCGCGCTGCGAAACGCGAAAAAGTCGCTTCCTGTCCTAGTGAACCACACCCCGTCAATCCCAGCTCCTGATGAGCTTCGGGAATTCGAAATAATAAGGTCTTTCGAGGAGTAGTTGAAGGAATCGTTTTAGTTATTTTGTTTATAAAGGTTCATCTTTCTTGATGAGCGAACCTGCTGTTCCTGGAGTGAGGTCCGCTGGAACAGAACACGACTTTTCCGCTTTTCGCAGCGCGAAGCTTTTTTCATTGCGGAAACTCTAGGTCCACCGCGATCATTTGTGGACCTGGGGTTCCTGCAGTGAAAAGACTTCGCGCTGCGAAAAGCGAAGAAGTTTCTTTCTGTCCCCGGGACCCACACTGTTCCTGTGAATTCAAAATCCTAATTCATTCAAAAATAACAAGTATATACTCACAATACGGATATAGTTATTATCATGGTTTTCACTTGATACGAACTGAAACAGACAAAAAGTTTGTTAGTACATAAACATACATAAACAATCCAAATCCAAACATCTTTCGCAGGATAAATAAAATTAGCTGCGGTTCAGGGTCTGTCCTATCGTTGTTACTTTTCGAAAAATTTTTTACGACCCCCCTCCCCCAACGTGGATTTGATACGACCCCCTTTTCCACACCTCCACCATCCATC